ACCTCAATTTTTTAATTATTGTTAGGTCTAATTGGAGAATTTTATTTTAATTTTACAAAGAGGTTATAATGAATGAATTCGGAATATATCATGAATTTTTGGAAATTATGTCCCTATATCTAAAGTTTTTTTTATCAAATATGATTCTTTTTCTGGAAAATTATTCCTAATTTTTGTTGTACAATAATAATAAAGAGTAATGTAGTAGTGTCACTGAGTGTATGTTTTACTTCACTATTTTTGTGTTTTTGTTGCTGTAGATGTCAGTATGTAACCCTAAGGTTGATGCTTCCTATGCAGGTTTAACAAATTTCAGTTTCCAAATTTTTGGTATTCACGCGGTGTTGCGCATCAAGCAACAAATTCAGTTTTCCAATATTCGGTTATTAAGAAATTATGCAATACAAAGTTTACACACAAGTTTCCCCAAATATTTTCATAATTTTTTTATTGCGTTTTCCTAATGAGAAAATCTCTTATTTATCGCCCAGAAAAGTTAGTCATTAACGGACGGTGCATAAATTGCTACTTGCCAAGCATATAAAACACTCATAAAAATTAGGTATTACACAATGCATTTCAAGAAAATAAAAATCGATTTTATGCACAACAAATCATATGCGCAGCTGCATGCGACGCGTATGCCCAACAGGTGCGCATGCGCACAAGCCGCAGTCACTGCGTCCTACTATGTAAATATGTAGAATGTGTAGAATACATAAAATGCTAACTGCGCTACAAAATGCAACAGTTACTATTATTATGGTGGGGTAATACTTATACTTTATTTAACGACTGCTGCTGTAGCGCCCGCTGTTGCTGTTGACTTGCCTAGTTGTGGGCATTGTTGAGTTGCAACACTTGTAATAGTTATTTCTATTTGGCATTGTTGTTATTTGCAGCTTTCGGTTTGTTAAGCATTTATTTGCTTAACATTTCATGCTGCCTGCTTATGCTTACTGCATGCTGACTTTGAACTTCGCTGCCTTGTTGCCTCAGCACTCAGCAGTCAGCAGCTATGTAACAATGAAAGCGAAATGTTGACGTAGAAACAATAAAAAAAATGTGAATTTTCATAAAACTTAATTTTGCTACTGCCGCCACAAACAGCCTTGGTTGCCTTGCGAATAAACGTCTCGTTGCATTTAGATCATAACGATGATTGCTGTTGCCACATTCCGACTGTAGCATTTTACGTTTTCGAGTGATCGCGTAACACTTTTAATTTTGGGTGAAAGAAGGAAGCAACAGTGGCGGAATGCTATTATTTATTTGTGAAGGGAATTTGGGAACCACAATACTTCCAGGGAAATGTAGAGACCAGAGAAGCAGCACAAGACAATTCTTTTTTTGTAGGATCGCTGAGTCGATGCTTGTAAAAGCTTATTTGAACACACTAAAACCTTAATATTATCCCTAAAAACCCACTAAGCTCAATTGAAAGATATTGAAAATTTTATACTAAAACCCGTTAAGACTTGTCCCCACGCAGTTGTGGCTCTCTATGTTTAGTTCCATTTTTATTATAATTCATCTATTCAAAATATAAGGTTTTTTATTATATTATTTGGTATTGATCTAGTAATTGATAGCAATTTAAAGACATTTGAAGAGACTGGATCGGTTATAGATATTATAAGGCCTGTGGGCTATCGGTTTACTCGTTCAACCTAAATAATGCTAATGTAAGTGAAAGTGTAGCCGAAGAGCCGAAGGTATCTATTTCCCGACGTTATTAAAGCACATTATGGCGTATTTTACATTTTGACTTACACCTACATTCATATAAAACCCAGCTCACAGAATAACTGTAGCCATCTACGCCGTACATACGTGTACGTCGACTGGATGCTTGAACAACAAGCAGTGGAAGGCGGTTTTACGAACAAAATTTTATGCAGCGACGAAGCAGATTTCTCTCAAGGGAGATACGTAAATAAATCCTCAAATAATTGAAGAGTGGATATTTCACAAAAATAAAAAAAGTACATATCTTTACGTACTTTGGTCCGGTGGTGTGATTAGATCTTACTATTTTGAATACAACAACGGCGAAACACTCACTGTAAATTCGAAGCGTTATGCTGGTTTGAGAATTTTTTTTTCGTCCGTAATTGAAGAATGTTTCTTTGACAATTTGTGGTTTCAACGAGATGGTGCCACATGCTGCACAGTACAAGCTATTATGGCTTTGTATTGTAGCAAGAGAAACTTCCCGGTCGCCCAATCTCTCGCATTGGCGGTGTCAATTTGCCACCGAAAACGTGTGATTTGACACCGCTGGACTGTTGGACATTCGGCATCTTATGGCTGAGATTCCGCCCATTATGTGTCAAAAAGTGAAAGAAATTGCCTGAAACGGGTCGAAGTTTTAATTTAAGTAAGAGAGCACCATATCCTTGCAGCCATATTTAAGTTACATCTTCTCTTGACATATCTTCAAAACTGGGTTAGATTGAATAGGCTGAGCACAGAAGTACACAGGGAAGGACGACACACCAGATCACAATCTTTGTGAGCGCCCGGCTTTCAGCTGATTGAAATGTCATACCTGTCATGATTACCCAAGTGAGAGAACTATATATAGAATATGTGAAAAAATTCAATAGTGATCGGATTATTTATTTTTGAGTAATCACAGCAGCAAATTCGGAAAATGCTATTTCGAGAAAAACGCGTTTAGAGATAAAATGATCAGGTACGTCTCGTAGCTAATGAGATTTTCTAGCTGCCGAGCGGCTGCTCCTTAAATTGCTATAACTCAAAAACTATTTGAGATATCGATTTGAAGTTTTTAATATGATATTTTTAAAGATGTAATCTACTCAAATATGAAAAGATCGTTTTTTTTTTGAAATTTCAGACTAGGTGTGTTCCTTAACCCAGAGAAGAGAGCTATAAAACCTGTCAATGGCTTTGCCGCATATTAATGTATATATTTAAATCATTCTAAATAAGAAATAATAAATGCTTGTAGCACGCATAGCGCACCAGTGAGCTGCAATGGCTACCCTTTACTTAATCACTTCAACACAAAAATATACTCTGATCAATGGACCAAAAAGCCCATCGGCTGACGGCAGAGAGAAACCACGTGTTATGTGACTAGACAGATCTAGTCATTGATCGAGGCAAACAGCAGTAAAGACCTTCTAAATCGGACCTCTATAATTCATAACAATCATCATGGGTTGCTTCTCAAAAGATTTCTACCACAGCTGCAGAGACATAGATGAGAAGGTATCGGAAAAGCCTTCGACGATTGCCATTCAGAGCTTGCCTCGGTAGGCGTCTTTAATCTTCTTATTATATTGTATAAGACACATCAAGTGGTTTGGGCATTCAGAAAGGTGAGAGGAATCTCTTTAACCTGTGAAACTAGCCAACTTGTGTGATAAGCATCTTAAGCGCAATGAATACGATCCATTTTTGTAGAAAATTATAACTGGAAATGAAAATGGATGGTTTACAAAAACGCCAATCGAAAACGGCCGTGGTCCAAGCATGATGAAGTGCCACAAACCACCTCAAAGGGTTCACTAAAAGAGGATTATGCTGTGAGTTTGGAGTGGTTGGAAGGGTGTGGTATATTTCATGCTGCTTCCAAGGAACCAAGCGATTTGTTCGGATGCCTACGCATACATCTTTGGGCACTCGCCAAAAATTGAGAGAGCTAGGCTGGGGACTATTGATGTATCCACCATATAGACCTGACCTTGCACCAACAGACTACAAGTCCTTCGATCTTTGCAGAACTCATTAAATGATAAAATTTTCGAAAATGACGAGGCTTTAAAATCGCACTTGGTTCAGTTTCTTGCAGATAAAGGCCAGAAGTTCTCTGAGCGTGGAATAATCATGTTGCCAGAAAGATGGCGAAAGGTCATTCAAAAAAATGGAAATAAAAAATTGATTAAATTTCAATATAAAATTAAAAAAAAAACATTATCATGATTTGTGTTTACTTTCTTTAAAAAAAAAAACGCCAGTTTCTTTTAGTTTTATTTCTATTTTATTTTAGTGAGGAAATTAATAAAATATTTCTATGTTTTTTGAGTACCTTCGCATCTATAACATCAGAGGCTAAGTTGCTTAAACATACTAAGAACCCCTCTTGGGCCTCGACGCTGTTCAGCAAACTTCCTTTCGCTTTTGATTTTCCTTTCAATGTAAGCAAATGGTAGCAACTAAGTTTATCTTAGCAATCAAAAGAAACAACAACATAATTAAATACTTTTACAATTGGAAATACGCTTTTTGCTTGCACTCTCTCTTTCTCCCTCTCTCTGTCTCTCTCTCTGTCTACTTCTCTGTTTCTCTAGTTCTCCACCTCGCTGAGTGTGTTATCTGAAGACCATTTCCTGCAGCCACCATCACTTTGCGCACCTTTCTATTCGACACTAAATTTGGCCTCATTTTTATAATATTCGTGTGCGCATTGGCTTGTTCACCTGATTGCCTTTCTATGCCAGCCACTTTTTATTGCAAGCAAAATAAAAAGTGCACAAAAAACTGGAAAAATGCATAAATACAATAATTGAAAATAAAAAAGTAAAATTGTGTAATAATAATTTTGCAAATCCAACATCCACTGCTAGACTCCCGCTTCTTGCATTTGCACTTGCTCCTGCTCTTGCTCTTGCTCTTGCTCTTGGTGGTGCAGCACAATAGATAAACTCCAGAGCCATTAACTGTAGCTATGCGCCTCTGTCGCGTCGTTTATGGACTCGTTACATTTTATGCATTTCGGCATTCACTGCACAATTCGCTGCATTTCGGCGTATTTCGGGGCATTTGCACAAGAAAAATGATATAAAATGATATGCAGTTTCGTGTTTATGCACATTCGTTTTGTTATACAATCGCAGCCAAGGTCGCTTCAGCCGCAAGAGGAAATAAATCAGGGAACTGTGCATACAAACGCTGAGGAGAATACCCTTCGGGCATAAGGATTACAGTGTATAAAGGATAAACGAAACACACACACATCAGCACTGAATATGGCGACTCCTGCTGGAGGCTGGGTGAGTTTATCAGCCGTTAAGTGCATTTCAATGAAGTGTAAAGTGGTTTGATGATTAAGTGACAAGAAATAAGAAAGTTATGCAATTGGACAAGTGTGTGGAGCACAATAACTGAGGTGCTGCTAAGAAGTAGTTTGACAATATATAAAAGTGTACCTTTATTTATGAACTAGAGTTATGTTAGTGGCGGAAAGCTGTATACTTTCTGGTGAAACTAGACAAAAGAACAAGAGCGAAAGTTGGTAGGATTGTTCGAGATCCTGTCATAAATGAAATCTAAAAATTCCTCATCTGATATCTGGAAAAAAGATTTACGCGGATTGAAAGTTTGTATGGCATAACGTCAAACGTTTTCTAGCCAATTAAGGGCAACATTTCTAAGAGAATTGGGTAGAAATTGTATAAGGCCGCTGGCCGCGCAGCAACCTATTTAGCTTTGTCTGCCGACCCAATCGAATTGAAGTTGTTGGTTGGTTTTCGAGAACAAGTAGAGTGCCAGCAGCAATACTTCCTTCTGAATGCAAGCACATATGCGAGTTGTTTTGTCCGATGTAGAACCTATTTTCCGAACTCGCTGCATAAATTAGGAAGAAAGTGTAAACTTAATTATTGCGTAAGCCTCAAACTTATTACTAAATACTCGTATTTGATCTTCGGGAATTATAACGAAGATTTCTTTGCTCAACTAGCCGTCGTTCATAAAGCAAACACTAGATTTGCGCTTTGTCGCCGCTGAAGCCTTTTTCGGCCGAGCTCCTCCTCCATTTTGTTACACGTATGTGTGACTTGTTGTTTTTACAACAAAGACAGGTTCTATTACTTACTCTAAGCTACCTTTAAACGGTGATGGACTTTTTGACGATCTTTTATTTCAAGTCAGACCATCACTCGAAAAGGTTCATATAACCCACTAAGGGGTATTCAAAATGTTCTCGGAGGTTTCAAAATTCTCTGCCGACAACAATTAAAAAAATTTATTTCAAAATTGATTTTCTCTTTTTGTCCGAAGTATGCAAGTACCAGAAGGAAAAGAGATATATATAATTAGCGATTTCCGACCAAGCTCCTTCACCAATTTGTGGAGTTCATCTTCCAAAAAATAGAGACGAATGCACTTTATTCCGCCTCCGAACCGTCGTGGAACTTGTATAAGTCGCTTTTCTTTCATATCAGATTTTCGCTCGGTGGGCTTTACATTCCACGCCGTGGGGTGACCGCCATTTATATAAACTAATTTCGTATGTTGGCCAGACCAGGACTCGAACCCTCGAAATGCGAATGTTAGTACACAGTGCTACCCACTCGACTAATCGTAGCATCTAAGAGCATGGAATTTGTTATGACCCCTGCGGGTTAGGGGCTCAAGAATTTACCCGTGGTAAGGCATGACTGTCGTAAAGGCGACTAAAATTCAATCGTTCCCGCAACAGTCGGGTCTTTATATCGGAACGACCCGGATTTTTATCCGGCCATGGACTGTCACTCCCGCAATATTCCCCGAAAACCAATTCGGAGAATAATTTGCGGTTACAACAATAACAACAACAACAACAACATGGAATTTGTTAATACACATTCGTATCCACAGATAAACATTATCATCGAAAAAACATCGAAATCTGAGGACTAAAAATTTAGCTCTCACACAACCAATTTGTTGTCGTTTTGGGTCGAAAATTCAGAGCATGCAATTTTGCATTATGTCTAATACACGAAAATCATCGAAATCGGAAAACTTTAATGTATAGGTAATAAGAACCTTGATATGGTCGTGACCCACCGCATGGTAGTAGGCAGTGCTAACCACTCCTCTAATGCTTCTTCTTCTATACTGGCATAGGCACCGCTTACTAAGCCGAGCTAACAAAATTCCGCTATTCATTTCATCTATTCGCTGTTTGGGTCCGATTAAAAATACTACCTACAGGTAGGCCCTTCTCTGGAGTGAAGGCCTTTCTCCTGCTCAGCTTCCACCGGCGAGTACTGCATGGAAAACTTTCAAAGCTGGAATATTCGCATCCATCCGGACCACACGGCTTAGCCAACGCATTTGCTATTCCTTGATTTGCTGAACTGTGTAAATGTTGCTGTATAACTCATGCAGCTCATTGTTCTATCGGCTGCGATATTCGCCGTTCCCAACTCTCAAAGAACCATAAATCATACGCAGAACCTATCTCTCGAAAACTCCTAATGCAGACTCATCAGATGTTGTCATCGTCCTTGCCTCTGTACAACGAAATTACCTACGACCTGCAAGTTATGACTGGCAGCAGTGGCATTGGAGCTGAGTTGCGTATGCGATGACTGTTTGTTTGATGACAGAAGATATTTCATTTTGTGATCGTTCAAGTCTAGCATCTTTTCCCTACGCAACGCTGTTAATCTGGTTGTTCCTTTTTGAGGGTTCTACACCACAAATTTAAACTGCTTTTCTTATAATTCCATGAGCGTTCTTTTTACATTTGATTACTGTAAATATAATTGTTTTTTTTTTTTTTTTTTTTTTTTTTTTTTTTAAATCAGATTTATACAGCTGATTTCAATGGCTGTCCCCATGCACTAGATAACTACAAATCGGTAAACAAATAGAAGTTTTCCAAAATCTTTTTCAATATAGTCTCCTTGAAGTGAAATATCCTGTTGCCATCGTGAATCCTTTGCTTTCATCTCACAGTCTTCTGAAAATCTTCGTCTCCGTAAAAAGGGAAAATTCACTGGGAGCCAGGTCCAGACTGTATGGTGGATGGTCAATTTCTGTAATTCCAGAGCGAGTGCGTTTCATTGAAGAAACAGCGTAACACTTTGGCACCTTTTTTATGCACTGCATTGACTCCTGTTTGGACTCGTGATCATACTGATTAATCCAAGTTTCATCAACTGTTTCATTCAAAAAATCTACACCTCCAATCGTCGCTGCTTGTCTAGCGGCGTGAGCATTCGCGATACTGAGCGCGCAGTAATTGTTTTCATATTGAAATGCTGGAGAAAAATCTCTCCGGATCGCTCTTTGCTAATCTGTAATCCTTCTGCTGTCTGCCACAATTTAAGACTGATTTTTACATTTTTGAACAATTCTCAAGCTTATAGCTCTTCGGGTGGCAGTAATTTTGTTTAGTCTGCCCCAAAATTGTTGTTAATATTGTAATCGATTTTTCTGTTTACAAAGCGCGCGCCATTAAATTTTATTAAACATTTAGTCTTAAGTGAGAATTACAAAATTTACTTACTCTTTTACCTGCAAAATCTAATAAAGGTATTTTTACTTATTTCATTTTGCTTTCGTCTTTCATTCCATATATTCCATATCGCGCATATTGTCAATATACGTCCGTCCGTCCCACAGCAACTGCTAGTTACTGTTGTTGCAACAGCAACATTATTGTCAACAGTCTGCAATGCGGCCGCAGCAAAACACTCTTCGTCAACAACGACTGGCGCGCGAGGGCGTACACCGGAAATGCACAACGGACTGGCCCACAAAAACATGGCTCATGTCTATGCAAATCATGTGGGACAACAGCAGCGGCATGAGCAGCAACAACAACTGCAAAAAGTTGAGGCAAAACCCACACATCAGCAACATTATGGCTTTCATTATGAGCGGAATAACAGCAGTGGCAGCAATCATAATGGCCTTGCAGCACACACCGAAACCGCGTCGGCAGCCACAGCAGCCTCAGCAGCAGCAGAGGAAGTCAGAAAGACAACACGTCGAAGTTACAATGGATTCAGTGCCGGTGCGGGAGTTGGAGGCATAGGCGGAGCCGGCGGTGATGTTGCGGAGTGGCGCAGCTCACATAACGGTGCTGGCAGTAGCACAAGCGCAAGTAGTTACAACTTTGGGGCAGCTAAGCTTAATGATCTCACAAATCTCTCGGGCTTGCGGCATATTAGCAGCGGTTTTGGCGGTGGCGGGCATGCACTTAGTGCCGGTGCTCTCGGTGCAACTACAACAGCTGTGGCCAAACAACACATACCAATTTACGAAGAACAGCAAGAAAACGATTATGGCGCCGCCACATTGGGTACATCCGGCGCAGTAGGACACAATGTACTTGGGGAAAGCAATCAACATGGCAGCAGCAGCAGCAACAGCATCAGTTTTGGTGGCAGCCATGGTGGCGGAAGCAGCACCAGCAGTGGTTGGAGTCATAGTGTTAGCAACGGCAACTATAATTCTGGCGCTAGTACCAGTGCTGGTGGGCGCAACGATGCACTCAGTTCGGCCCTTTACAATTTACACTCAGCAGGCACGCACAATGGATTTCAGCCTTCGGCATTTGGTAGCAAATACTCATCAGCGGCAGGCGCTTCCATGACCTATGCGTCGGCATCTCCCTACAAGCACCAACTCGAACATCATAAGCATCAAGCAAACGATAAAATCTCTGATGGCAGCTTTCTGCATCGTTATGATCATAACTCCGGCAGTTATGATGAACATTCTGCCCCCTCGATATACGCACATCACGACCACCATCATTCAATAACAACTTCAAGTTTTATGCCTCACGAAAGTTTCGCTCACACAGGACATAACACCGATTCTGCGGCTTCAGCTGCATCGGCTGGCGATGCAGATATCTCATTTGGGCACCATCACAGTATCGGTAGTGTCGGCGGTAGCGGTCATGGAGATGGTGGTGCCGAAGCTGACATCGAAGAAGATGACAAAGGCTCTAGCGGACCTTCGTACGATGACGCCACTAATTATCTACCCGAGCAACATCATTCGGATGACGGTGGCTCTTCGTCGCCGCAACATGTCATCAACTACATACCCTATCCGGTTGTGAAGAAAGTGCACGTACCAGTTCGCGAACCCGTACAGATTCCAGTGCAGCATGCGATTATAGTACCAGTCAGCAAGCCAGTGCCCATACACATACCGGTGGCTAAGCATGTACCCGTGCCGGTTGAGAAGGAGTTAAGAGTACCTGTGGAGCGCGTGGTTCCATATCCAGTTGAGAAGCCTGTACCAGTGCCCGTGGAGAAGCGTGTACCCTTTCAAGTGGTTAAATATGTCACCGTGAAGGTACCCCATCCATTCCCCGTTAAGGTGCCCGTCTTCAAAACGATATTGCACAAGGTACACAAGAGCGGTATGTGGTAGGTATTTACCGTACGTTCACTGCGGATGAGCACAGTTGACGGCAGTTGGGGCGTGTCAATTCTCATATTTATTATATACTTATATATAATATGCATAATGGAGTGTTTATTAATTCGTAAGACTGTTGTTGTTATTTATATATTGAAATATATTCATTTTAATTAAATAATGCAAAAATACATATTTAGAATATTGAAACAAACGCGTAACGAATGCACACGAAATATATTTGTCAACGAATACATACATACATTACATACATATTTTTATGAATAATAATTATTTCATATTTTAAGTTCTTTATTGATATTTTATTTATATATTCGAATAAATATATTTTTTAATAAATACCTGATGACTTTATTTACTGTAAAGTAAAGTTTAGACAAGACACTTTCCAGTGGGTCTTTCTCACATGGCGGATATCTTCATCTTCTCACCATCCATTGCACTTTAATTCAGAAAATGATACCTTTCAGGGTTTGCTCTGCTCCACGCGCTACCTTTTCTCAAACCTCGTTTGATACTGTCCGGCTGAGAGAAGTCTCACACAATTTGACTGATTTAGTCTGGCAAGAAGTGAAGGGGTTTCCAATAAGAGGAGCAATTTCGAATTGCCTTCTACTCCGGTAGATGTTACTTTTCAAGCTGTAAATTTTTCATATTTTGCCAGTAGTCAAAATGGAACGATACACGCTCCAACAACGCATTAAAATTATAGAAATTTACTATAATAATTAAAGTCACCTTGGCCGATGGTGGCCATTTCCGCCTCGATGAATCAAGAGCCTTTTTTTGACAGCTGTTTGGTGCGGATTATGGGCCGATGTGGTCATTGGTCCTTCTTACGGTGAATGGCTTGCGCTATCGAAAGTTGATTAATGATTTTTTATAGCCAGAATTGGATGACATTGATCTGGACAACGTTTAGTTTCAACAAGATGTTGCTTTGTGCCGCACAGGCAACAAAACCATCGATCTGTTGAGGGACACGTTTCCGGACCGTGTTATCTGTCGAAGAGGAGCTTGCAATTGGTCAACGATTTAACAGCTTGCGACTTTTTCTTTGAGGTCACGTGAAAGGTAAGGACTACGGTAATAGGCCATAACCTGAAAAAAGGAGTTCGTGATGCTAGTGAGGACATACAGCAGCGAAAAAGGTGCGGTCCGGTAAGCATAACCGTGTTTTTCATTATTAATTGCATATCTTTCTCTTAACATTGAAATAAAAATCCACTTGTTTGATGGCTGCTTGCTGTATGACTGTGAAAGTCTGTTCATTATACCAGGCCTTCTTTGAGAATTATCCGAAGCCATTCCTTTCTCTTCGGCACCACACAGTTTTCTCACACCGAATTGATCACTGTTCTCAGAGAGCGCGAGGGATTCCAAAGGAAAGCCTTACATCAAAGTCCGATGATACCTCAGTCCATTCGAGACAATAGTGTCATGTAGGCCAATTCGGATCGGAGTCCATTGTGTTACCACTATAAAGACTCTTTCTCCTGCAGCTGCGATAAAAATTATTTGCGTGATACTTTTATCGCGAATTCCCATTAAATAGTGCTCTGGCATTATTCCAGTAGTCATATTAATAGAGAACCGGTTCTGAAAAACTAAGAGTCTTGAGCCGTTATTGAGTTTACAGACGGCTCTTGCAGTTTAATCGACTTTGGATTTATTTTAAAAAGGTACATTTGAAACAGAATATAAGGATATTATAGCCAACCCCTACCGAAATTTGTATAGCAGATAGTATCTGGATTTGCCCTATACCTCGTTCCCTTCAACTCAGTTGCAATCAGTCTACGTTACATCTCGCTTGAAGTTTGCCATAGGAAACATGTTTCGAAGAGCTTCGACTGTTTATGTCTATATGTCTTTATGTTCCTCGAGAAGTAGAGTTGTTGAGTTCAATACCAGGAGTTGTACACTCCTGCAAATGATTTTACCTTGGATAGTTAGCTCTACAGCTCTTAATACATTCTTTAATACTAGGTTGGAGGAGATACATACATGATAAGCTTCGGCTCTATTGCAATGCGGATTGCATTTCCGGATAGCTTACACTTTTAAGTTTGCAATGACAAAGAATTGGAGTGTGTTACTCTTTCCCTTAAGGGCATATTTTATGATTAAGAGCGTAGTGAACATTTGATCAATGATTCAATGATGAAGGATGCTCCCTTGACGGTGAGCATGAAACTTGCATATTGCACGCCCCATAGGATCTTATATCCGATATTGAGGAGCCTAAATCCAAGTGTCTCCATTTTTACGGTTGGGGGCAGAGCACATTTGAATTCGATTCGACGGGTGTACTTTCATATGACCGAATTCCGCGAAGATGGTGTTTCAGTTTTTTGCCGCCATATTTCAATAATGCGATTGGTAAGCCAAAACTGCCGACGATTTGCTATTTTTTTTAATGTACTCTCGCTATTCAAACTTCGTCATAGTCGATTATTGGAATGTCTTTTCCTTCATCAGCGATTGGAGTTCGGGGTCACCATTTTCGGGTGTAGGACTTTTAGTGCCATTCTGCAGTAGGCTTTGGGCATCGGTCACCAGCTAACCGCATTGGTTTCTACATGAACATGTCCCAGTCTCGAAATCTTCTGCATGTAGCCACATCTTTTTATAGTATTAACTCTGTCGGGTAGTTTATTTAACTATTCATACTTAAGCATTTTGGTCTCTTTTATCCTAGGCATGTTATACGGTTTGTTCGGACAGGTTTTGTTTTCTATGTGAGGGTCCCAAATCCAATCTACAACGAGCGGGTATTTCACTTCTACCAACAGCTTGTCTCCAGTTGAATGTATGTTGGCTACTCAGAGGATACTTGGTTGAAGACGTAAAGTCTTAAGCTGTTGAACCATATATAAAATAAGCGTTGCCGGGCCACTCCGCGGCGAAAGGCAGTCAAAACCTTCCTCGCGTATCATCCCAGAACAAATTTTTTATTGATCACATTTCGGAATAAGTACAATAACATGCCATAATGAAGACCCAGCTCGCAGTTAGATTATCCTATTTGCATTCGTTGCATTCTCTCATTATAATTCACCGACGCCAAAGTATTTTCTTGACGCAAAACAAAATCCTAAAACCTCTAATGCTGACGTTTTATGACGATTTACCGTCAAAAATGCAAAAATTCAAAAATTTTCTCATTTAAATACGAGCGTGCAAACAACTTGAAATAACACAACATAACATAGCATAAACTCACAACTAATGCAAATAAATCCACATACAACAAAGTGAAGCGCTGCACGTTCGTGCGAGCAACGTGAAATTTGCATTGCTGTTTTTGGCAGCCGTCGCCGTCGCCATTGGCGCGCGGGTTGTTCATTGAAATTCATGACTTTGTTCTACAAAATTCGCGTGCACTCACTTACTTTTCGGCCAAAAATACGGACATGCGAATGTAAATACATTTACTGACATGTGTACGTACACACTCGTATATATGTATATATGTCAAATAATTTTTATATGTTTGTTTGTGTATAACTCAAATGATATTTAAGGCATTTGCACAACAACAATTGATTCATGACACGAAACAGAACACATACGCCATAAGGTAATACATATGTAAATGTACATACATACATATGTATGTAAAATATGTATCTGCATGTGTACGGATATGTAAAGGGTAATCCATTTCAAGGAATTTTCATTATCATTGGAAAGAACATTCATAGACATTTATTTTTTGAATATTATCTCATTCAACTGTTGACCGCTGCTACGTCTCAGATGGTCTATTCGTTGAGTCCAATTTTGGAAGACTCGTTCGAGCATTTCGACGGTAACTGGCGAATGACACGCGCGAGGTTTTGCTCTCAGGTTTGAAGCGAAGCGGAATTGTCCTTATAGACTTTAGACTTTACATATCCCCAAATGGGAGAGTTTTGATGGCCAATGGACCGGGCCAAAATTTGGAATTATCTGCTCATTGAAGAGTTTTCTCAATAAATCAATGAATTGATGCGATGGGTGGGAAGTTTTTTTTGAAATCAAATGCCGCCGAGATCACGAGCTTCGATTTCATTCATCAAATAGTCAGTTGTCATAGCGCGATAACGGTTGCTATTGACGGTTACGTTCCCACCGGCACCATTTTTGAAGAAATATGGATTGATGATTTCACCGGCTCACAAACCGCATAAAACCGTTGTTTTTTTTGGATGAAAATGCAGCTGTCGAATCTCTTCAAGTTGCTACTCGCCCCAAATGCAGCATTTTGGCTTGTTTACATACTCATTGCGTCAGAAATGGACCTAATCGCTGAACAAAATTTGCCTGGAAAACGTCCAATCTTCTTGAAAGTTTTTAAGAGCGCATAGCGCGAAGCTATGTCGCTTGGGAAAGTCGAGCGGCTTCAGTTCTTGCACAGGCAGTATTTTGTACGCTTTCAATTTAAGAACTGGAGGTAAAAAGTCGTTACATACGTCAGTCCGGCTTGCTGCGAACGGCGCCGTGTACACCCTCAGCGACGGTCGCTATATTTTCTTCACTTCATGCTGGACGTGGTCTTTTCGGTCGAATGCTAACCAATATGAATACTGGGTCTGAAGATGAGTGATGCCGTTGCCGATTATCTTGACCGCAAACTGATCGAAACGAGTGAAACTCATTCTTTACAGAACGTGAATTTTTGTAATAAAGTTTAACGATTCATAAACGTTGTTGGTCTCCGCGATGATGATGGAATGACAAGCAATACTGACCAAAAATAACACGACAACTTGACACGACTCACGTGTGATCTGTAAACAAAGGCTACTGAAAAAAGTACCTCTATTAGGATCACCCGTTATAGTTGTATATGTGTGTGTATAATATATGTCTTCACGCGCTATTGAAATAACATAGACGAACAGTGTTTAATGTGTATAAATTTGAAGCATGCGAGCAAATAGTAAATTATGTTGTGTGCTAGACAAATGTAGAACATCCTTGCATATCCTGTGCGCTTTGTTGTTGTTCGGTGGCTTGTTGTTGTCGCTTGGTAGGCTAAAGCTTTGGCAGCGGTTTATTTTGAATTCTCGTTATTATT